AATTTTTGGTATAGTAGTTGTGACTTATTCACACTATATACATTTGGCTTCCGCAACAATACTTAAATACTTTTCTCTTTCTTATTCATCAAACAAAGGTTCCGAAGTTCCTCCACAGCTTCTTGATTAATCTCTTTTTCTTCCTCTAATCTTATTTTCTCACTTAGTTCCTTTGATTTCTTGCTCAGTTCTTCTCCCAACTTCTTCTCCATTATGACATTTCTTATGGCTTTTGCTATCTCCTCTCTTTTCAGCCCTCCTTTTTCATCTCTCTGAACTTTCAATGCCATGCCATGTTCAACTGCATAATTTGCAGTTATAAACTGATCCATATTAAATGGCATGGCTATAAGTGGAACCCCAAAATGTATACACTCAACTGTAGAATTCCAACCACAGTGATTCAAGAATCCGCCAATACTTGTGTGTCTCATAATTTTGGCATGAGGTACCCATCTTGAAACAACCATTCCTCTCTCCTTAACTCTACTCAGAAACCCCTCAGGTAAAACTTGTTCGACTTCGCTCCCTGGAAACCTAAGTACCCATAAAAAGTTTACGTTGCTTGACTCAATTCCATGAGCAATCTCTTGAATATTTTCCGTTGACCAGACGCTTTCACTTCCAAATACTGCATAGACAGTTGAAAATGGATCTCTCTTGTCGAGCCATTCAATGATGTCGGAATCCTGATCATCCTGAATGCTTTCATCAGTTTGCCCTATGAGTGGACCAACACTTAAAATCTTCTTATTGGTTATAGATGACAGGTACTGCATATATTTAGTCTCAGTTTCCTTCCAATTGTTGATCAAAATGATGTCATTAGACTTTTTGCGCGCGCTATAGACGAGGATTATTTCCAAATATGCCGTTATAGACAATCCAGGAGGTCTATTGGTGGTCCAATTAAGCCATTTCGATTGTGGTGGAATAGCATTCAGTGTATGCCTATCACACAAGATTTATTATTGTATGCCTAAAACTCATTCCTTTCCAGCAATTAATAACATGTGATACACAGTTTGATTTATTATTAAAAATAAGAATTTGAAGATCATATCGTATCCCATATATGATCTCTCGTAAAGTACCAGTACAAGTTTATAATAGATCGATGGGAGGCAGTAGCTTAAAGGTTGGTCAACCGAACACCCTTTAACGAAACATTATACTGTATTACTATATATATAAAAACTTATATCGTGTATATATATGATCAAAAACTATTCTTTATATGTGTGTATTAAAATTTGAACATCCTTCGCAAAATTCCCGGCTTCCGGCTTCGCCATTGAATACTGATGGGACGGCAAAACACAAACTTGATTTTGCATAATTGAGTGCAACGACCTAAGAGACTAAAGTTTGGCATGGAAAGAAAGATTGAGATAGTTTCCATGGATCTCATTAAACCTCTTTCTCCTACTCCCAATCACCTTAGATGCTTCAAATTTTCTGTTCTGGACCAAATGGCACCACCCATGCCTGTTCAGTCATGTCTAATTTTGTTACGGAAGCCAAATGTATATAGTGTGAATGAGTCACAACTACTATACCAAAAATTATGACAGCCACCAAATAATAAATAAAACAATAAAGCAATAATAAAAGGAACACTAGAATTTACAAGGTTCGGCCAATTTTGCCTACTTCCTCGGACACAACCAATATTTTATTTCACTCCAAAATACAAGTAAAATAATACTAAAGAGAAAAGATACAAATGTTTAAGAAGATAAGAAGGCAAATGAGAGGCGTGTTTAAATCCTAAACATTAGACTTTCTTTTATAAGAAAAAAATCCCAACCAAATATGTCACCCAATGATGTGGGACTTTTGACATTTTCAACAATTTTATACTCCTCCTCCCTTAGATGGTGGTGAATCATTTTCCAGCGACGAGCAAACAAGATTATTTCTTTTGAAGAAATCTTTGTCCGTAACTCTTGCTCGTTTTTATACTTTTGCTGGTCGAATTAAGGATCACTCAATTGAATGCAACGACAATGGGGTACCTTTCTACGAGGCTTTTGCTCATTATAATTATCAGTTTGAAGATGTTTTTAGAAAGCCTGATATCGATAAACGTTGACTTATATCCTCTGCTTGTTCAAGTCACTGTTTTTGAGCTTCTCACAAAATTGCTGATGTGCCACATTGTGCACCCTCATCAATGCCTGGTCAGTTACTGCTCGAGATAGCACCGACGACTATGTGATCCCGGATTTTGTTGCAGCTGCAGAATCCCTGCCACCACCTATTCCCCATGTTTCACCCAAGTCTATGAGGTCAGAAATGATCAAAATTTTATTTGATGAACAACGTGTCGCTAAACTTTTTGCCTTTGATGCATCTACTATTGCATCGCTCAAGGCTAAGGCTGTCAGTGATTCTGTACAAGTGCCTACTCGCGTTGAGGTAGTATCAGCTGCGATCTGGAAATGTGCCATGGTTGCTTCAGGGAACGAGAGAAGATCATCTCGATTGGCGCACAACGTAAATATACGAAAGCGTCTTGTCCCTCCATTGCCAAACCATTGTGTAGGAAACGTTGTTACACCTGCCACAGCATGTAAAGGCGAGAATGATGGCTCTGACTTGCCCACTTTGGTCACTTGTATAAGAAAAACATTATCAGAACTGAGTTCCAAATATATGGATTATAAAAAGAATCGAGATGAGGCAATATTGGCTATTCCCTATGACACCGCGGAGCTCTTTGCAGCAATTTTTCGAGGCGAGATAGATCTACATATTAGTAGCTTGTGTGGCTACCAATTTTATGTTGATTTTGGCTGGGGAAAACCTTCATGGGTAAGTCGGATTCAAGATTTTGGTACAAATGCTTGATGGAGTCAGGAGATAGTGGTGGAGTAGACGCATGGGTATGCTTGAAGGACAAAGACAGTATGTCAGTTTTTGAGCAAGAGCTGCTGCTGCTAGCATTTGGATCTGCCAAATAATTGAAGAGCTTGCTGCATCAGCTTAAATTGGTATTGCTTTAGTTCCTTTGTTGTTTCTTTTCATGGGTGGCATTTGTATTTGCTTTTCCGGTTTTAATTTGAGTATGTTTTTTAAATATACAGTGCATGTGTAAGTGTAAGAAAGTATCGCATTTGTGGCATAGAATTGAATGTTACTCTGGTTGGGAATAAACCCCGAAAAATAATATTCATGGTATTAGTGATAAACACGGACCACTAAGTTATGGTTAAATCAGTAAGAATAAAAATGCAGCAAAAATAACACCAAGATTTTACGTGGAAACCCTTCTGAATAAAGGAAAAATCACGGCCAAGAAGAGCAACTGATATCACTATAGCGAAGAATTTTACACTGTGTAGTAACAAGTACAAATACTCTTAAGACCACTACACCCTCAAAAGAAAAAAATACTCTTTTGCTTTTTTCACCTCACTATAATATCTCTCACTCTATTTTTCTTCATAAACTATTTTCTTATAATCTATGGAATACCTTGCTCTCTATCTTTCACTCTTTGTTGGTGTGATGAAATAAGAGTTAAAGCTCTCCTTTTATAGCCAAAAAACTCACTCTGTAAAGCCTACAATATTTGACAATTTGCACACACTTTTTACAATTTCAACAAGGTTGGCTACCAAACCAAACCAAGTCAACAAAATTGGCTACCAAATCATACCAATTCAACAAGGTTGGCTACCAAACCGATATAATTCAACAAGGTTGGCTACCAAACCATTTGAATGAGATGGACACCATCAATCTCCCCCTCTAGTCTCATTCATCTAGAGGAGGTAGCACTGTCTTCTAGTTTGAGTGCATGCCGGCATGCCGACAAGTTCTTTGCATAGCTCGAACTTGTCTCTTGGTACTACCTTGGTCAACATATCTGCAGGATTTTCACTCGTGTGAATCTTTTTGACTGGAAGTGATTCGTTCTCCACTTGCTCACGAATCCAATGATATCTGACGTCGATGTGTTTTGTTCTCGCATGGTACATGGAGTTTTTGCTCAAGTATATTGCACTCTGACTGTCGCAATAGACAACATACTCCATCTATCGCAATCCAAGTTCTTGAAGAAATCTCTTTAGTTATATCATCTCCTTGCCAGCTTTTGTAGTGGCAATATACTCTGCTTCAGTTGTAGAGAGTGCAACATAGTTTTGTAACTTCGACTACCATGAGATAGCTCCCCCTGAATATGTGAACAGGTACCTCGTAGTAGATTTACGATTATCAAGATCACCTGCCATATTAGCATCCGTGTAGCCCTTCAAGATTGAATCAGATCCTCCAAAACACAAGCAATTTCCTACAGTACCTCTTAGGTACCTGAGTATCCACTTGACTGCTTCCCAATGTTTTTTTCCAAGATTTTCAAGAAATCTGCTAACAACACCGACTGCATGAGCTATACTTGGTCGAGTGCATACCATTGCATACATCAAACTTCAGACGGCAGAGGAATAAGGAATCTTGGTCATTCTCTCTTTTTCCTCCGTTGTTGTTGGACACATCTTCTTACTCAACTTCAGATGACCAGGATGGGGTGTGCGAACCAACTTAGCACTTTTCATATTGAAGCGCTCCAGTACACGTTCTATGTACTTCTCTTGTGACAAGTAAAGCTTCATTTTTTTTCTCGAACGAGTAATTCTCATACCCAAAATCTGCTTAGCATGACCCAAGTCTTTCATTGCAAAAGACTTATTCAACTATTTCTTCAACTCGTCAATCTTGGAAGCATTCCTGCCCACAATCAACATATCATCCACATATAGCAAGAGGATGATAAAGTCATCATCAGAAAATCTTTGTATAAACACACAGTGATCTGAAGAAGTTTTCTTGTAGCCTTTCTCCCCCATAACAGACTCAAACTTCTTGTATCACTGTCTGGGAGCTTGCTTCAATCCATATAGACTCTTCTTAAGTTTGCATACAAGATTTTCTTTACCTTTTGTCTTGAAGCCCTCAGGTTGTTCCATATAAATCTCCTCTTCTAAGTCACCGTAAAGAAAAGCAATCTTCACATCCATCTGCTCAATCTCCAAATCAAGACTAGCAGTCAAACCAGGAACTGTCTGAATGGATGACATTTTCACGACAGGAGAAAATATTTCGTCAAAGTCAATACCTTTCCTTTGACCAAATCCCTTGACAACCAATCTAGATTTGTATCTGGGCTTCAAACTATGTTCTTCAGTTTTAACTTTGAACACCCACTTGTTTTTCAAAGCTCTCATGCCCTTAGGCAATTTCATCAACTCATAAGTATGGTTCTCATGCAGAGATTTCATCTCATCTTACATGGCTTCAATCTATTGATCCTTGTGCTCATCCTCTATAGCCTCCGTATAACATTCAGGTTCTCCCCCATCAGTGAGTAATACATACTCATTGGGTGAATAACGGGAGGAAGGAGTACGAGGTCTAGAAGACCTCCTGAGTGGAATATCTAACTCATCCACAGCTTCGTGAGTAGGAGCATCTGCCTCATTAACATTAGCATTGTTATTACCATCACCATCAATATGTTGATTTGGAATATGGTTCTGGGCATCACCATCATCATTGAGTCCACCAACGTCATCCGCATTTGTATGAGGAACTTGATCAAGATTAATTAAACCTTCAGAATTTGGAGATTTTAGCTTCTCCTCTTTGTTAATATCTTCAATGGTTTGATCCTTCACGAAGATAACATCACGACTTCTCACGACCTTTTTCTCAATTGGATCATATAGCTTGTAAACAAACTCATCAAAGCCATAACCAATGAAGATGCGCTGCCTTGTCTTGGCAGTTAATTTTGACCTCTCATCTTTAGGTACATGTACAAAATCTTTGCAACCAAACACTTTCAAGTGGTCATAGGAAATATCCTTGCCATACCAAACTTTGTTTGGAACATCATTTTTGCAAAGCAACCGCAGGGGATAGATTAATAACATGTGTGGCGGTCAACAAAGCCTCACCCCAAAAGGAATTCGGCAACTTTGCTTCAGAAAGCAAACATCTGACTCTTTCCATCAATGTCTTGTTCATCCTTTCTGCTAAACCATTAAGCTGAGGAGTCTTAGGAGGAGTCTTCTGGTGTCTGATACCCTGTTGTTTGCAGTATTCGTCAAACGGTCCACAATATTCACCACCGTTATCAGTACGAATACACTTCAGCTTCTTTCTAGTTTTTCTTTCAACTGAAGCCTGAAACTGCTTAAAGACACCCAAAGTTTACACTTGGGTGTCTTTAGTCTTCGAGATGTAGACCCAAAGTTTCCTAGAGCAATCATCAATAAAGGTAGCAAAATAAAGTGCACCACCCAAAGTCCTTGTCTTCATTGGACCACATAAGTCTGAATGCACCAACCCAAGCAACTCTGTCTTTCTTGAAGGAAGATGAGATTGGAAAGAAACTCTTTTTTGTTTTCCAGTCAAGTAGTGCTCACATTTTTCTAATTTTGCACTTTTAAAATTTGACAACAATTCTTCTTGGCCAGAACATTTAGTCCTTTCTCACTAATGTGGTTAAGCCTCTTATAACGTTGAAGAGTTATGGCTCTCAACGGAATTCACCATATCAACACAGGTAGAGGTCGTAGTCTAGTATAGACCACGACGCTTTTACCCACGAGCCACAATCATGGAGCCCTTAGTAAGCTTCCACTTTCCAGCACCATTAGTACTAACATATCCCTCATCATCCAAAACACCAACAGAGATCAAGTGCAAACGAACATTAGGTGCATGTTTTACATTGTTTAAAACTAGTTTAGTTCCAATACTAGTTTTCAAACAAATCGTTCCAACACCAGCCACCCTAGATACAGTCTCATTACCCATACTCAAAGTTCCAAAGTCACCCTGAGTATAGGATGAGAAAAATTCTTTCCTTGATGTCACATGAGACCACTGTCCACAACCCAGCTGGACTCATCACAAGCAATATTTATCAGATCCGCATCAAGGATGGTAACAAGGTCTTCTGTAGTGACAGTGTCCACACGATTGCCATCTTTTTTGTGTTCTTCATTGTTTCTATTCTCCTTTTTCAAAATCCGACAGAACTTCTTTGTGTGCCCTTTCTTCCCGCAATGATAGTACTCAATATCTTTAAGTCTGCTTATGGATTTGTTTCTATTATGTTCTCTATTTTGAGAACCCTGATTCTTGCTTCTCCCCCTAAAGTCAGTCACCAAGACATCTGATGAGAAGGAACCCTGAGATTTTCTTCTCATCTCTTCATTTAAAAGACTGCTCTTGGCAAGATCCATAGAGATCACACCATCCAGAGCAGAATTTGATAATGAAGTTCTAAGAATTTCCCAAGAATCTGGTAGGGAACCAAGTAGAAACAGGCCTTGAATTTCTTCATCAAATTTAATGCTCATAGCAGATAACTGGTTCATGATTGAAAATTATTCAAATGATTTGTCATCGCGGAATCATCATGGTATTTTAAACCCAACATCTGCTTTATCACAAACATCTTGTTGTTTCCAGTTTTCCGAGCATACAAACTTTCAAGGTGCTCCCATACGGTCCGAGCATGTGTCTCCCCAGAAATATGGTTCAAAACATTATCGTCAACTCACTGTCTAATAAAGCCGCAAACATGCTTATGTAACAAATTCCACTCTTCATCTGATTTATTATTAGACTTTATAGTGGTGAAGGCAGGTTGATGAAAATTCTTGACATAGAGCAAATATTCCATTTTTCCCTTCCAAATGGCATAATTTATGTCATTCAAAGTAACCATTCTACTAGTGTTGGCTTCCATCGTTTATCACAAATATAAATACTATTTATTGGGAGACCAAAGTAATTCTTTTCTGATGTGGAAGTTCAGACTGTGCTGCAACCATAGAGCATACTCAGACAGACCCTTGACTCTGATATCACTTGTTGGGAATAAACCCCGTAAAAATTTACGGTATTAGTGATAAACGCCGACCACTAAGTTATGGTTAAATCAGCAAGAATAAAAATACAGCAAAACTGACATCAAGATTTTACATGAAAACCCTTCTGAATAAGGGGAAAACCATGGTCAAGAAGAGCAACTGATATCAGTATAGCGAGGAATTTTACATTGTGTAGTAACGAGTACAAATACTCCTAAGACCACTACACCCTCAAAAGAAAAAATACTCTTTTGTTTTTTCCACCTCACTATAATATCTCTCACACTCTATTTTTCTTCACAAACTATTTTCTTATAGTCTATGGAATACCTTGCTCTCTATCTTTCACTCTTTGTTGGTGCGATGAAATGAGAGTTGAAGCTCTCGTTTTATAGCCAAAAAACTCACTCTGTAAAGCCTACGATATTTAACAATTTGCACACTTTTCACAATTTCAACAAGGTTGTCTGTCAAATCAAAACCAAGTCAACAAAATTGGCTACCAAATCATACCAATTCAACAAGGTTAGCTACCAAATCAATACCAATTCAGCAAGGTTGGCTACCAAACCATTTGAATGAGATGGACACCATCAACTCTGGTAAGATTCATTCTATTGAATGACTCACAGCACTAAATTCATATGTGAATCAACTTACTAAATGAAGTACCTTGGATAGTTCTACTTCTTTATTTCTTTTTTTGGCTAATGAAGAGATCAAATTTATTTAGGAAATTAAGGTGGATCGTACAAACTGGAACTGATCGCAGTGTATCAGTTCCATAAAAGTTTTTGCGAAACTGAAATAAAGCATAAAGAGGAGAATAATCAGAAAACATGATATTGTTCTCACCTAAGCTATGAGAACCCCAGGTCTTCCCATAGCTTGCAAATATGTCCATCAGTATCACAGCATTTGCCTCCAAGTATATGCGGCGCACTGATGGTGAGTTGGCCATGACATCAGTAAAGACCTGCAATCATTTATTAGGTGAAGTACAATTTGTGAGGATAGTAAGTTTTTAATACCTTTGAATCAGTTTCCACAATCAGTGGAAATGGATTCTGTGTAAATATCAATCCAGCCCTGGTAAGTAATGCTAAAAGTTTATGCATGCAAAATTGAATTAGGTGTAATGTAGCTGGAGAAACCAGCAACCCATGATCCTTCTATTCAGAATAACCCCTCCTGCACCGCCTCATTGAGCTTCTTGATGTAGCCATTTGACAAGGATAGTATGTATAGGGTGTTTAGCGGTCGGTTGGTTTGCATTACAGGCATTTTGGGGCACCGGCGAATGGGCGTTTTGAGTATCCAATTCTGTCCAAGCAATCACAGGTTCAGAGAATGGGGACATCAGTGCATAATGGTAGTCCTGTGGTGTCATCTTATGTTGATGATGTTGATTCTTAAGCCGCGCCCATCAATGGGAGGAAGGTCCTTACTCTGTTTCCAACAGGGGATGATTGATATCTTGGTAATTGTTGATTTTTAGCCTTCTGTAAGCTTCTTCAAATATCTTGTTTAATTGTCCCTTCTATTTATTTGGCATGCTGAAGTGTGTTTGTCTCTGTTGGTTTGGGAGAATGGGTACATTTCCCCCCTCTGAAACGCCAATATAAGTAGAGACCACCACCTTTTAGAAATCTCAGTCCTCAGTTTTCTAGCTTGAGGTGGAAGTAAACTCGTCAAATGCACGAGCCTTGTCATCGTCTACATTTAATGGCTTACAATATGTGAGTAGACCTTTTCTTATATGGTATTAGCTCCTTTGACACCAGTTTTCGCTTCTGTGTAGAAAACCTCACCGGTGCTTCCTTCTTCCTTTGCTGTCTGGTCACAAGTGAATTGATCTACCATTAGATGTTTTTTTGCTTGGTTTCACTATCATTCAGTTTAAGAAAAAAAAAGGCAGCCCGGTGCACTAAACTTCCGCTATGCGCGGGATCTTGAAAGGGCCGGACCACAAGGGTCTATTGTACGCAACCTTACCCTGCATTTCTGCAAGAGGTTGTTTCCCCGGCTCGAACTCGTGACCTCATAGTCACATGGCAGCAGTTTTACTAGTTACGTCACGCCTCTCCTTCTATCATTCAGCAACTTTACCAGCAACTATCATTCAGTATAATGCCAAAATTTACTGAAAACTGAAAAAGAAGATGATGTTAATCAACATTGCTTGGCTTTCTCTATCACTTAGTATAATACCAAAAATATTATTCAAAACTGATATAGAAGAGATGCTCAGTTTCTTTTGAAGTCTACAGAAACATCTTTTGAGTTAGACATTGCTTCAACAATATAGTACCTTACAAAACGATATATCATGAAACGATGTGGAACAACAATCCAAACAGGCTTACAGTAGGTGTTTGTGCATTCACTATCTTCAACTCAAACTATACATGTATACTTGAAAATTTTAAAAAATACAGTTAAAGTCACGTCCCAACCAACAACGTTACATTTTTCGAAAATGGTAACAATATTATATATCTGTAGCATAAAGGATGTGCTAAAGCCATCTTACAATTTAAAAGAACAAAAAACATAGCTTTCTTATAACTCCTATGACAGGTATTCCATGATATCTAACACTAAATCAACATCCTGTATAAAATCATTAGCTGCGCCTTCCTCTGCTAGTCGATCCCTCTCTGGCGGCGCTAGTGCTTGATATATAGCCATGCAAGTGTAAGAAAGGACCCATTGACAAGTTGCAGGTCCAAATCCAGCCATACCATAGGCGAGATTCACAGTAAGTAAACAGAGTACATTCAGTACCCGAAAATCTTTAGGGCCCGGCCTACTCTTGATCAGCACGTAGAAGTAAAAACAAGTTACTGCTGCTACAAGCAGAATAACGTATACGTGAATCTGTTTGTGGTGCAAGTGGCTGAAGAGAGGCGCTACACAGAGCGCGACCAATGGGCCTAGGATATTACAATGACGGCGAGCTCGTATGGGATTCACCCCGTAGTAAGAAATATAACAGCGTCGGAGGAGTACCAAAACTACTTCAGCCAACAGAATGGAAGCAGCTGTACAGATGAGCCATGCTCCCTAGCCAAAAGCAGTGGCGACGAGAAACACCACAAGTGTTGCCCAAATTTTCTGGTGTTCAATGTTCATTTTTTCTTAGCTAAAATGGGTTTAGTTGGTAGTATTAGAAAATGGGTTAGCTGGTGAGAAAGATGAAGCAGAAGGGCGTAGATTTCTGCCTGTTATGTGTTTGTAAAAATGTGGAGATGAAGTTTTAGGGAATATTTGGTGGTGAGAGGAAGAAAATGAACGAAACAGAAAGATGGCAAAATCAACGTCGCTCTGCTGCAGAGGTACGTACGTCTTTTACTGCTGCAGCAATAAAGCTTGTGGGCTTTTGACAACATAAGTAATTGGGAGAAATTCAAAAATAGCCGGATTTACAACTGGTCATTTAAAAATAGCTCAGTTTCAAAAGTAATCAAAATTTAGTCACTTTTCATGTAAAGATAAATCTGAGCAAAAATACTGTTCAAAACCCGAAAAATACGCCAGTATATTAAACTGGAGTTCCAGCATAAGTATGTTTGAACTCCAGCATATTATACTGGAGTTCCAGGATAAGTATGCTGGAACTCCAGCATAATATGATGGAGTTCCAGCATAAGTATACTAGAACTCCAGCATAATATACTGGAGTTCCAGCAAGTATAATTGTCCAGTATAATATACTAGAGTTTGGAGCATCGGTGCTCCAGTCTCCAGTATATTATACTGGAGTTAGCAAAGTATACCAGTCCAGCATAATATGCTGGAGTTCATACACAGGTGCACCGAACTCCAGTATATTATGCTGGACCGGTCTCTGTTGCAGCAAAATAGTGACTATTTTTCATTGACTTCGTAAACGCTGGCTATTTTTAAATGACCAGTCCGAAAACTGGCTATACCGTGTTATTTTTACTAATTAATTAAGATAAAAGTATTAAAAGCCCAGTCTTGGAATTTTTAGCTCTGGGGAAGGTGTATTGTTGTCTGTGAGGCCTTGACCATTTGCATGGACTCATTTTTATTTTATTTTTGGGAATTCGATTATCCATAAACAAATCCTATTGAGCGATCAAGGAAATTAGATTATCCATAAAATATTCAGTGAGCGATCAACTCATGTTTGAGCATGATGAATCACTACGTGCCAACTTGTTATGTTCCACTTTGCGACGTTATATGAGAATGAAAAGTTGAAGCATTTTATTCATCCATGGATGAAGAATAACAAACATAATAATTTTTGCCGATCATGTTTCCAGAAAAAAATCCTCCTCTTTCGTCTATCCTTTTATTATTTAGAACTAATATTGATACACGTATTTTACATGTCAAACTTCTTGAGGATAATTTGGTTTCCCTTCGAGCAATTTATTCAGTTCTAAATTGGGGCAACAAGATCAGTTACCCGTAGTTTAACAGAAATATTTGCATTTAGTTTCAGCAAAACCGTTGTCCCAATATGTTCAACACTTCGGGAATTTTTTGGTCGGTATCAACAAGAATGATACATTTATATGATGACTTTGCCGTAGACCTCAGTGGACACAAACAAATATGTTAGGGGTACTTTTGTTTATTTTAACAATATCTAATTTATTATCAAAATCGTCCCTTTTATCCTTCAATTAACTGTTCAAACAAATTACGCCAAAGAAATTAAACGTAGTGAGTAATAAATACATGAGCGTTGTTCATGTCAAGCATTTTCAGGATGATCTAATATCTTTCTTTTTTTAAATTCTTACTTATTCTACTTCATATACCACTGTATCTTCATCCAAATCCAGAAAGCACAAAGGATTTCCTCTGGTCAGTCAGAGTTCCAATTTTAAGTTCTGTAAAAAGCCAAATATTGGGTGAAATGCAACATAACCCTCAGAAAAGTAAAAGACAATAATCTTCCTGATATTTTAAGGGGGTAATAACAGCAAGTGCATATATGTCATATGAAGTATTACTGCAAAATATACTGAAAGTACTTAATTCTTCCACTTGAACTGATTTTCAAAAAATGAAAGCAAAAGGGACTAATGCAGCACCAAGTTTAATAGTGTCTATCACAATTAACCTAGACCAGGATAACACTAAGAGAGAACAAAAACTACATTCCCAGCGGAAACATCCTCTGAACCATTCTGGACCATTAACTGTGGGTCTGGGTGTAAGCAAAGCTTAGCGGTTGCTGACAGAAAGGGGGCTGCAACAAAACAAAAGGAGGGATTGGATCAGTTAATTAAGTTGCATGCTGTTGATAGAGATCACAGACGTCAAAAAATAATGGATGAATAAATAAAAGAGAGACCAAAGACAAGAACTCTGCATGCAAAATTCTCCACACACATTAAAACAATCAAAAGCGAAGTTCTTTCTGCAAATTTCCTTTTTCATTGGGTTGAGGAGTATTCATAGGAATGCTAATAATACAATATGCAGGCATATTGCTAATAATACAATATGCAGGCATGCACCATGAACAGTGTGGTTGAGTTCCAAAAAGTAGGAGCCCCATAATAATATACACTTATACTGCTATAATATTTGCCGAGAGTGATGGCATTGGTTATTTCTCCCAAAAGGTGCATCCATAGAGATATAGTTAGTCAAAATGCGAAGCCAAGAAAAGAACAAATTACAAGACACTAATATTATCTCAGCATGCATAACAAGGAAGACACTTGGAGCTAATAGTACAACTGCCATAATTAACATATAAGCCACTCCAAAATATATTATTATACATAAACTGCAGTTCTTGAAACATAGGGGCTGTGGTAAGAGGAATAGAGGATAACCGGCAATTAAGATGTTATACTAATGCCATGGGAGACATTAGCCCCTACAAGAGTGCCTCCACATGGCAGTATGGCACTACATTTGCATGCGGCATCAACATAAACAAGCCCATTATTAACACCTAAAGCTAAACGACATATTGCTTTCAACATAAAATCAATACTTTTATTTACTTATTTCTTGAAACATAGGGGCTGTGGTAAGAGGAATAGAGGATAACTGGCAATTAAGATGTTATACTAATGCCATGGGAGACATTAGCCCCTACAAGAGCGCCTCCACATGGCAGTATGGCACTACATTTGCATGCGGCATCAACATAAACAAGCCCATTATTAACACCTAAAGCTAAACGACATATTGCTTTCAACATAAAATCAATACTTTTATTTACTTATAGCTTCTAAATCAGAGTTCTACATACTTCCTCTTCTAAAATACTAAATTATAGTTTGAGATAAGTGGATTTCCTTTTGTTGAAATATTATTTGACAATTACTCATTCTATTACCAAAAAGGGTACTCCCAACAGACTCCTACAGTAAAACAGTTGGCGCTTTATAGTATAAGTCCCAGATTTATGAATCATAATGATTGCCAATTGAATTCCAGTAGGAAATAGCATTCAAGGGACATGAAGCTGATCAGTACCTGAATGAAAGCATGCCTAAGTTGATCATATGAATGTGCATAAATCATGCTCTGGGTTGGCCACTGCATGAATACTCCATTATTGGAGGTCTGATTTAATCCCATGGCATGGTACGGGCCAAGAGCAGGATTCCTGTAGTTTGGTGAAGCTTGAGCATTGGGCAGCTGACTCATCTGAGGAAAAGCAGCATCATAATGCACATATGGGGGCTGAAACTTCTGCACATCAAAAGGTGCCAAGCTAAAGCACTGACCAGTCGGGACACTCTTAACGTATCTGCATCAGTTTGAAAGACAATTAGATGTATCATCTTCAGACACTATTTAATGTTATAAGTTATAGCAGAACAAGGTGCAGCATTTGTATATCATTAACCTGCATAAGTGTGTATATCTACATAGCATCAACTACATTCTAACCTAACTGCTTAATTAATGCAGCATCACCTACCACGTGACTTCTTCAATTCCACTATTCAAACTTGCTACACATATTAGATTACATAGTTAAATTTCAAGCCCCAACTTTTTCCCCACTCGAACCTTAAATAGTGGTGCTGAAAAAATCTAAATGGTAATGCTACTCAAAAGATGAGGAGAACAGAAATTCATGCCAAACCAGAGTACGAGATAGTCTTCAAGACCACTATATTCACTCGCATAAAATTTCACTGCTACTGACTGCTCAAGACGAGTAAATGCACATACACTGCTCCAGTTCTGGTGTATCAACTACACACACACTATAAATCACAGAACAAAAACGCATCGTTCTAAAAGATCCTGTCTAATGACTTTATCCAAATAAAGATTGTTAATATAGCTTTTCAACAAGACACGCAATCAAAATCCCATATCAAATCATGCAGTACTTTCAGAAGCACTCTTTTTTGGTTAAGCTACTATCAGAACTCAGAAGAAAACTAACAATATACTAGTCCTTTTTCATATGTCAAATTAATAGACTGCCAGATGTTATTTTGACAATAGAAAATGGTCTAACAAGAGCAAGACCAGCCGCCCAAGCATCCAAACAATAGCCAACTGTCATGACTAGATACTAGCAGAAGTAACTAGATCAGACAGAAGCAGCGTATAAGTTGCATATACAACTAAATCATACAAAATAACACTGAGGACTGAAAGTAAATTCCAGAAACTGAGATGGAGCATTTTTTAATACAAAAATATATCATACAAATCATTAAAGAAGGCATAGCACCCAAGATAACTTACCTAACGTAATTCCTGTCATAATCTGGGTCACTCAACTCTTTCTCCCTGTCCCTAAGGATGGCAACTCGAGATGAAGTACTACTACCTTCCCTGCTGCTGAGGCTTTTCTCCATATCCAAGAGTAACCTATTTGAACATTCATTCTCATCTATGATGTTCTTGATGTCAGAAGCAACACGAGCTAATGTGTCTCTTGACTCCGAGCTAATAGGACTATTAAAAATACGTGCACGTGCCCTGTCATACTCCTCTTTTCTCTCTTCCACAGTTCTTACTGGGCTGCGTTTTGGACCAGATTCACCATCATTTGACGAGGTTTTACTAGGCCTTGGTCGTATTACAATTTTCATCTTCTCATATTTGTCATTGTCAGACTGTTTAGGTGGGATGTCTGACAAACGCACAGCAGGGTATTTGCTTTCAGGCTTTCTTGTCACCAGAATTTTGGCTCCCTGACCATCCACCACATTATCCTGGACCATAGTTTGCAAACCATAGTGTTGAGCAACACGGTGCGCTGCAAGCCGAAGGTAGGAAGTAGGGAAATGTGGGAACTCAAACTGTTGCAAATCAGAATTTTGCAAGAACTTCTGAATATCGAATTCCATTCGTAGAACTGCCAAACAACAAGAAAAAACAGACTTAATTACTTTTTATCTCTAGAGTAATTATTCTACTAAGAGAAACACACTTTTTATCTCTAGAGTAATTATTCTACTAAGAGAAACACAAATACATTCAAGAATGAGCATGTAAAGGTGCAGCATAACCTAGTATAACACCTACCAATAGAACTCCAACACTAACAAATGAAATAGGAACTGATGTGAAGTAACTATACTATCAGGAAAGATAGACTTAGCATATAAAATCAACAGAACAGAATCCATCGGTAGAGAATTAAATTTTTCACTTCTATGATAAATTGCTAATTACCAATTTAAAGCTTTCATAGAGAAATAATCAACATGCATCACACAGCTCTTTCTAGTGCTATAACGGTAAAGGAAGATATGGCATCCACACTATGAGTAGAACAGGGAACCAAACCAAATTTTTAATGCGCATGCAATGTATATTTTACATATAGTATTAAGTCCACATTAAGAAGTTTTAGTCACCCATTATCTCAAAAGCATAAATAAACACAACGCTTAGCTCAATCTGACCATATTTACAAACAGAGAATCAGTTACATACACAACAGATATATAAAGAAGCTCAACTCAGGGGTGTGACCTAGTGGCCAATAGAACCATGAGGGCTCAAGTTCATTTCCCCACAAAAAACACTAGGTGATTTCTTAGCATAAGCCTTGATAGGAGGTAACAGGTACTCATGGAATAGTCGAACGAGCTGGCCCGGCCAACACGTCATCAAATAATATATACTAAGAAGCTCAATTAGATTCAGATCTACAGCAAATCTATCCCACCAAAATTCACAACAATCACAATAAAACCAGATCAGCAAAAACAAAAATAAACCCAATTCTGCACAATTAACCCCAATAAAATCGAAGAAAACAGAAACCCTAAAACTAACCCTAAGGAATAGGAACACATGCCACTAAATTACATAAAATTTGCTTGAAAAGAAAAGGCAAAAAATAAAAGCAATGTTGCGGAGCACATACTGGTGAGACGATGACGTGGGTTTTGAAGAGCTTCAACCAAGAAAGGATCCACCATTGACAAATAAGCAGCAGAAGCTGAATCCATTTTCAGAGAAAACCCCTTTTTTGTCTCTCTAAAAATTACAAGGATTATGTAAAAATTGGAATACAAAAGATTTTTTTTATAAATTTTTTTTTTCTCTTTTCTTCACCCAAGAGAGGGGAAGAAGAAGAGACTTTTCAAAGAGCTCTCAAAAAGGGAGAGAGAATGAAAATAGAAAACCCTATTGGCTCCTTATCCCCTAAGAGGAGGACTACTAGAAGAAAAGAAAAGGGTCTAAATTTGTGAATTTCAATAGGGAGGGATTGGGTTTTGTCTTTTTTGTCTGCTTTTAAAGGAAATAAAAAGATCTTACTGCAAAGGACTACAGCCAAAGTTAGCTAAAATATCTCTTTGGTCGGACCATTGTGTGTGCGCGTGGAAAATTGAGAGCTTGAAATATATATCAAATTAGGGTGAAAAGAAAAAAAATGTTAGCCAATTAAAAGCTTCCTTTTATTTTTTCCAATTTTTTTTATAAATATGTAGGGTAAGTTGGGCGGTCAAAAAGTATAGTAAAATGGTCATTGTTCAAAGAATAAAGTACTCTTTAACACAGTGTGCTAAAACTTCTCATAAGACTTTTTATGATGCGAATTTGAACTAGTTGAGTCGATGAATTTGGAACCTTGAGAATGGATCCGTCCTTGATAGGAGCACTAAGACCCCATAGTGAGCTTTATATGACATGAATTTGAATTAATAGGCTCAATGAATTTTGATTATCGCATGTGGAATTTGCAACTTAATTAGATGTGAAATAATTTTGATCTAGTGGAATTTAACAATGTAAATTTGCAATTCTAATATTTTGAAGATAGAAAAGGAATCTTTTCTCAAAGGCACTCCTAACTTAGCAAAGCTACGAATAAGTTTTAGTTCTGGACATTCAAAGGCACTCCTAAATCCTAATCTTAGTTGTGATTTTGAAAATACAAGCCCATGGTCCATGGTGTAATTAAGATTTAAACGGGCTTGAGTTGCTAGACTCCTAAAACCAGTAAAAATAACACGGACTAGCCAATTTTCAAATTGGTCATTCAAAAATAGCCAACATTTGCAAAGTCATTGAAAAATAATCATTATTTTGCTGCAACACGGAAAGTTCTAGCATAATATGTTGGAGATCGGTACACATGTGTATGAACTTCCAGCATATTATGCTGGAACTCAAACACGCAGAAAGTTCCAGCATAATATACTGGAAATTGGAACACCTATGTATGAACTTCCAGCCTATTATGATGGACCGGTATATTATATTGGAACTCCAGTATATTATACTGGAAGTCCAGTATATTATAATCGAACTCCAATACTTATACTGGAACTCCAGTATATTATACTGGAAGTCCAGTATATTATAATCGAACTCCAATACTTATACTGGAACTCCAGTATATTATACTGGAGTTCCAATATATTATGTTGGAGTATTTTTCGGATTTTGAATAGTGTTTTCGTTCAAATTTATCTTTACATGAAAAGTGGCTAAATTTCAATTACTTTAGAAACTGTGGCTATTTTTGAATGACAACTTGTAAATCTGGCTATTTTTTAATTTCTCCCCTAAAACCAATGAAAATAGCCTGGGCTAGCCAGTTTTCGGACTGGTCATTCAAAAATAGTCAGTGTTTGCAAAGTCATTGAAAAATAGACACTATTTTGCTGCAACAGGAACCGGTCCAGTGTAATATACTGGAGATCGGTGCACTTGCATATGAATTTCCAGCATATTATGCGGAACTCCAATACGTGGAAAGTTCCAGCATAATATACTGGAGATTGGAGCACATGTGTATGAACTTCCAGCATATTATACTGGACCGGTATATTATACTTGAACTCCAGTATATTATGCTGGAGTTCCAGTATACTTATGCTGGAACTCCATTATAATATACTGGAGTTCCAGTATACTTATGCTGAAACTCCAATATATTATATTGGAGTATTTTTCGGATTTTGAACAGTATTTTCGTTCAAATTTATCTTTACATGAAAAGTGGCTAAATTTCGATTACTTTTGAAACTGTGGTTATTTTTGAATGACCACTTGTAAATCTGAGTATTTTTGAATTGGGATTTTTACATACCTATACACTATTGGAAACTTTATTACCCTCTTTACTCAAGTTTTAATTTAATTACCCCATATATACAAATTTACCAATTATATACACTCTAGGAATTAAATGAGTATCCATTTATATTAGGAATCAATTATTTTCCATCCTTATACTCTCCATCATCCGCTCTCTCCGTCTCTCTCTCTCTCTCTCTCTCTCTCTCTCTCTCTCTCTCTCTCTCTCTCTCTCTTGCGCTCTCTTTCTCTCTACGTCTCTCTTTATCTCTCAATCCCTAATTCCAATAATGTAAAGCAAAGAAAAAAAGAGCAGCAATTCCACCATTGACAACCATTAAAAAGTTTTGAAGCTTTAAATTCAAATTTGGGTTTTCAAAAATATTATTTGTTTGAATTGGGTGTTGTTGCAAATAATTGGGAATTTTTGTTATGTCTCTCTCTATCTCTCAATCCCTAATTCCAGTAATGTAAAGCAAAGGAAAAGAGAGCAGCAATTCCACCATTGACAACCATTAAAAAGTTGTGAAGCTTTGAATTCGAATTTGGGTTTTCAAAAACTATTATTTGTTTGGATTGGGTGTTGTTGCAAACAATTGGAAATATGATTTGGAGTTTATATCTCAATTTTGAGGGTGTTTTGGTGAAGATTAGACTTGATTTTGGCTGAATTTGAGATTGAAACTCGAAAAAGAAGACATGGCATACATAATACTGCAGAAATTGTAGTAAAGTTGCAGAAAAATTATATTCCGTTGTATGAAAGTTGAACAATATTGTATAAAAATTGTATTTAAGTTGTATGATATTGTAGTTGTATATAACTGGATAGAAATAATATATGAAAATTATAGATAAATTGTAGATAAGTTGTATAATATATAATTAGTTGTATGAATTTTGTTTTTACTATGTATAAATCAGATACAAAATATACAAAAGACATATTATATAAAATTAGTATAAAAATTGTGTTTAAGTTGTATGATATTGTAATTGTATACAACTGGGTATAAATAATGTATGAAAGTTGTAGATAAGTTTTACAAGCCTATGACATAAGCTTTGGGATTTTTTGGATCTCTTTTAATTTAGACGATTTGGTATTTAAAATTCATCCAATATAAATGGACCCAAGTTCATCTGTTTTGGATTTCTGCTTCGTCTAATTCTGTCCAGATCTAAGCATATATTCAGAACTCCCTTTGTCAAACAAAAGAAAGATACTGACCCATAATATCAAAGGCGCGGGATACTTGTACTTGCCCTTCAAAATAATGAAATGATAATTATCCTAGTCCAATACAAATTTGTCAGAAAGCAGAAACTTGAGTCTTTTGTGATAAATTTGATTTGTTGAAACGTTAATAGCATTACTGAGAATACAATGATTGAAGGCACTACAGATGATTGCAGAAAAATAAGGAAAGAGAAGAAGAGGAAAAAAAAGATAGGTAAAGGCTGTAACTAAATTCCTTGAATACAATGTATATATTTTGTAAACAAAACTTGTATATGTCGGGTAATTAACTAAACATAAATATTTAGTGTTATAAAGTTTCCAATAATGTATAGGAATGAAAAATTTCCTTTTGAATTTTCCCCCTAAAACCATGGTTATATTCGGACTATTCTTGAAACTATAAGCCCAATACTAAAACGCAAGCCCGAATTGGATGTGTTTGATAATATACCGCAAGTGTACCTATATACAATTTCTAGATTAGCTTTGAATTACAATTTCTAACTGAATGCAGCTTCTTTCACAGAAATTCTTCTATTGCATCCCCATTTGGTTTTCTATACGTATAGTCCCTCTTCCAATAATCAATCCAAAGCTAAACCAAAAAAAATAAAAATACAAATGCCGTGCACCTTGAAAAGAAACGTCAAAGGAACTGAAGCAATACACAAATAAAGTTGATGCAAAAAGGTCTTCAATTATTTGGCGGATCCAAATGCTAGCAGCTCTAGCTCATACTCATGCATCTACTCCACCACTATCTCTTGAATCCATCAATATAACAGAACCTATGCCAAAATCTCGAATTAGACTTACACATGAGGTTTTAATTCCCCAGCCAAAATCAACACCGTAAAATTGGTAGCTACACAAACTACTAATATGTATATCTCTCTCGCCTCGGAAACATGCTGCAAATAACTCTGCGGTGTCATAGGGAATAGCCAATATTGCCTCATCTCGACTCTGTTTATAATCCATATACTTGGAACTCATTTCTGATAATCCTGTTTCTTATACAAGTGACCAAAGTGGGCAAGTCAGAGCCATCATTCTTGCCTTTACATGATGTGGTTGGGTAAAAATACTCTTCGCTCAGACCGTTTTACGTAGCTTATCCCAGGTTGAATTTTTTTGCCTAGGGGATTCAGTGTTGAAATATAAACATATACAGAGCCAACGCAGCGGAAATAAACGAGGAACGTACCTTCAGGGTTGTTCAAGTGATGTGGGGAATTCCTTGGAAGAACCTTGAGAGAAAATTTAAGGAGTCTTCTAGCCTGTGCCTATCGTAGAATGTCAGACTAATGGAGTCACAGGCGTATTTATAGGTAGGCTAGGGACTCTTAGGCAAATATTTTAGCCCTAGGGACTTCTCCATAAATTATAATTACTCTAGGGACTCCTAATATATGGTAATTTCTTTCCATCAAAGAAACTACCATATATGCATAACTACAAAATATTATCTGATATATTATTTCCTTTGGGAACAAGGTAAATAATTTATTACCTTATATGTGGGCCACACTAGAAGTCTCTAGAAGAGACGGTAATTTCTAACATTCTCCCACTTGGCCCACATATTAAAATAAGATAATCCTTTATGAGAGATAAACATATAGTATGGCCATAAACTTCATCACTCAACTAAAAGTTATGCGACAATCACTTTAACTAGAATATATTATTACACAAATCATGGCGGTCATGCTTTTAAACAAACACTTCCTTCCATGTATTACAATGCACAATATATTCTAATAAAGTGTCTAACAACTTTATGAATGAACTTAATATAAGTCATTCAGAGTCCAACTTTATTGATCCAATGATCACAAATAATACATAAAAAATCAAAAGTGTGCACTGTCATGTATATCAAAATAAAC